GATCAAATTTTAATACTTTCATTTTTGATTGGTTTATATGGAGACAAATTTATGTTTAGGTCACATAATTAATTGTGTTTTGTATCAGATACATGCATATGTTTCTTTAAGTGCTAACATATAATGAACAGTCAAAGGTATAATTTTGTCTTAGTTTAGTGGAAATATTTGCCAGTATTATTAGTTTTTAAAAACGTGAACTGCACTATCGCTAGTTCACAATTATATTTTATATTTCTGTGTATGATAATATATTTGTCCATATGAACATTATTTATAGAAAATGTGTTTATTTCAAGTGTTTTCAAATAATGTTCGTTCCCAAAGACGTTTGAATGTATCATTGCCTGTAAATTATTGTTGAAATTAGTGAGTGGTTGTGTCTTTCGTTTACGAGTAGTAAGCGAAATGAGCACTATCATTAAGGAGTCTTCTGGTAATCATCAAATTATCCGTATCATTAATCGTTTTTATTTGGTCTTAGAAGATAAGTTCGAGTAATAATTTGAAGCTATCCCTCAACGTCTGATATTATATTGTTCGCCATACTGATGCTATGCATTTTGTTAGGAATTATGGAAGATAATATCGTGGATAGGAAGTTGGTGACTTCTTTTACTAAATATGCCGTGCTGATAATTGGTTTATTAATTTAATTTTATGGGGATGTACTTATTTGTGCTGTGGGATGCAAATAAATGTCTGTAAATTTCATCTGCAGCATGTTTTCTTCATGGGAAGGGATAATGCGGTACATTGTTTTCTAAAAAGTCATTGATCTTGGTTGTATCATGAAATGTGGATGGATGTTGTACATTTGATTTGTTCGTATTTCGTGTTACGGGTTTTTCCAGTTGCTGGGTTTTATTTGTTACTTCATTGCACCGCTTTCCAAACTTTTTTGGATTAAACTGATAAGGCTCTTTGACGGTTCATTTGTTTTAAATGGAAATTTGCTAGACTAGAATGGTTTATCCAATGTGGGAATTATTTGATGTGTTCCTTAGTGGCACTCTCGCCGAGAAATTAGTCTCTTGAGAAAAGTCATTGAAGCTTTTCTCTGCATTCAGGCGCAAACAAGTGCTGTTAAGCACATAAGACGAAGAGTAAGACTGTTAATTAGTCAGTATTGTCTCGCGTAGTTGTAGTATAGATGGGATACCGTGTAGTACTTCTTTTGGCTTAATGCGTGACTTCGTTTTGAATGAAAGTAAGAAGAGGATTTCGGCAGTATTCAAACAATATGAAGTACGAAGTCAGACATGTCATCAGTAATACTGTAGATTATCATGTTATGCTTTCACTTTCAGACTTAACTAAATTATAAATCAGTAGTCAGATATGGCCTTTTCACTAGATATTTTGGCATTTATCCTAATTGCTAAAATTGCATCTTATTTTAATGGCAAGTGCCGAGAATCATTGTGAGCAAATTCAGTTGTGATTTGTTACAGCGAACTATTTTTGTCTACTTTGTGCAAACACTTTAACTATTTGAGCAATGTAATCAGTGTTTAGCTTTTTTGAATATTTACTTTTTTTCAAATGTTCACGATACGCTCTACTAATTTGTTCACTTAATCTCTACTTTTTTTTTTGTTTCAAATTCAAATTTGCTATTAATTATAAATCATTTTACAGCATTAATAATTTATATAACTTTTATTTTTGAAGTCCATTCTGTTCACTTTTCGAATTTTAATTTATGCACAGACTGACTAAATAGAATTGTAAATTTTCAACTGTGACTAAAGTGACTGATTGATTGGTCTATTAGCTACTTTGTATCAGAATATTTTATTCTTGAACCTTGTTGACATTCTGTTCTCACTTTTGTTCAATTTTCAGAAGTAACTAACTAGTTCTTGAGATTGTAAGTAATCATTGACTTTCCTTGCCACAAATTTATAATATTGTATTGTTTGTCTGTGAATCTTTTTTACAACTGTCTTGTTTTGATTCTTCAGTGACCTTTAGAATAAATATGAATGCCTCTTAAAAGAGTACACTCTACACTATCCAATTTTTGCTACACCAATAAACTACATTGACCTCACTTATTACGCTTACAATTTCAGTATAACCTTGATCATCGTAACTAAATATGAAGTTTTGCTACCTTTTCATGTATGAATTATCCGCAAATTTCTGTAAAGAAATAAATTAGTCTGAAATATTCTAGCTTTCAAAATCCAAGTTTGAATTTCGAGAAAACTTTTTTGATTATCTCTATTTTTCGTAGTTTTCATAATCTATCTTTCTATCATCTTAAATTTACTTTTATGAACTTGTAAAATGTCAATAAAAAGAAATAATTTCTATATAAATCACATTAAAAAACGAATTCAAACTGCTCTAATTATTGCACTGATTTTATTCGCTTAACATAAATGACTTTGAAGGCTCGTGTGCAAATATCTGACAAGGGCTTGCGCAGTTAAAATCTTTCCAAGTTTCTATCATTATTAGAATCAATAATCATTTTCGATACTAACTAAAATTTTTCAGTGTTTTAGTTTTTACGATGACTTAACAACAGAGAAAATATGCACGTAATTGTAAACTTTGAAGCAAATCAACAAAAGTCATTTTATTTAGATTGTACATCTGTAAAATGATACCAAACTTTATTATGCCATGCGTTCAACTTTTTGTCCGCTGAAGCTGTACAATGAAAACATTTGCCTAACTAGTCCGATTAACCTTTTAACTTTAGGTACTAGATCTAACTATTACTAAACTGAGCCAAGAGAGATATAGAAAGTGATGAGAATTGGCAAGACTATAAACGAAAATGAAAAAATTCAATGATGCATGGAAATGAGACATAAAACAGCCATTAAAACTGGGCCTGCAATGGCTGGGCCTATAGGCCCCACCACATAGCTGGTCAATCAATGCTTTCTTTTAAGGTTTATTTATTGTCAGGCTTTTTATCTGCGCATTTTTTGAAAACACTATCGTATTCTAACTTTTCTACGTTAATTTTGCTAAAATTGCAATGTTTTCAAATCAGTTTGACTTTTAAATTATATGATAATAGGCCTAATAATTTGTTTGCTTCTCAGAATTAATTTTTCAAGGCAAAGATCTCGCAATTCGTCCATTTCACAAAATTATGCCATTTTCGCATTTCGCTCCTTCTGAATTTGACTTGCATTTTAATATTAGTTTCTTTAGAAGAGCACACAAATGCTTCTAACCATCAAAAACCACTCTCGGAGAGTAATTAGTAATAATTTAGTTGCTGGTAACAGCCAGTTTGAAGTTGAAACTTTGTCAGTTATTTTTGCATTATTGCCTAAAGTTCTTTAAAGTCAAAAATAATTGAAAGAGATTAAAATTGCATTCATTTTTTTATTCACAGTTTTTAATATAAAAAATATTCAGCATTGCTCTTTTTTTGGTCTTTAATTTTGTCCATCCACTTTCCTTATATTGCATTATGAGAGTTATTTCGATGACCAGTTTATGTTGCATTTGCAAGTTCAAATTCTGTACAAACTTTTAAATTCTCAAACTTATCAGTTATTAGTTTATTTGATTGAAAGAGCACGATCATCATTCAAGTTCCTTTCACATAAAATTTTCAAAAAATTAAAAGCGATTACTTTGCAAAAGTCTGTAAAACATAATTTTTTGTAAGTTAATTTACATTTACATTTGCAATAATAATAATAATAATAATAATAATAATAATAATAATAATGTCTGCAAAGAATGCTCTAAAAACATATTAGTTTCGTAAAATTCTTAACAAGCAAATTTTATAATAATCATAATTACTTATTATTGTGATCCTATCACATTATTTTGATAACTTTACTCAGACAGCTGATTTCAAGTTTAATCAATATTATTGTTGAATTTCAGCATGTTTATTATTATTATATTGATTACAGCACTTAGACGTCAATACATACATGAAATTGAATGTAAACAACAAGTTACTTCTTCATTGCTTCTATTGAAAATAATCGATGATATGAATACTTAAATCAGTTAGTGCTTCATATCTACTCATTGTTGCTTGACACTTCGTGAAAGTTAATTTTCCTGCCAAAAGTTTCTAGTTATCATTCACTTAGTTTGTCTTAAATAACTCTTTAAAAGTAATAACAATAATAATAATAATAATAATAATAATAATAATAATAATA